GCACTTGAAGGGCAGTGGTGGCACAGGCTCAGCACTTGGGAGACAGAGGCAGGAGTTGGAAGCCAGCCTGGTCTATAGAGTGAGTTCCAGAACAGGTAGGGCTGCACAGAGAAATCCTGTCTCAAAAAACAAAACAAAACAAAGAAAAGAAATGAGCACTCAGCCGATCTGAATAAAAATGCCAAGATACCCTCGTAGGCGGAACAGATACCTGACCGTTTGAAAAGTATCTTTTCATTTCTCTACTCTTTTCCACCTAAGCTAAGACTCATGAACCAATGCATTCATTCACGGATCTTACCCAACCTAAGAGCACAAAGTTCACATCTCCCCTACACACTAATCTTAGTTTGTTTATATTAGAATAAACTTGGTAGGCAACAAGTTGGTGGTTAGAAGGGAAGGGTGCCGATCAGACCGACTCTCCAGGAACAGCGATCTTAACTAGCACTTCCTAATTTCAAAGTTCTTACTTCTTCGGCTAGATGATTTTGAAGAAAGGGTGCAGGCACGTCTAGGAGCTACATACACCGTTCCTCGACTCTCAAAAACCCAGTACAGTGGCTGGCAAACAGGCGCTGCATGAAATGTAAGAGACCAAAACACGACTGCGTTTTAAAAGTAGATGCTCCATGGCTGCGACGGCCTCTTCCAGGCCCCACCAGCGGCCCTCCTGTCTCGTTTCTAAAACTAGTTTTGGAAACAACGGGAGTATTCTCCAGGAAGTTTTACTCACCGGGGCAGAGGAGCAAACCTCAGCAGTGAGGGTGGAGAGGCCGGTGCCAAGTCGGGCGCTCTGCACGTCCCCCGTGTCCTAGTCTCGGTGGGAATTCAGGAGGCCCGAGCCCCTTGATTCGGCACTACACTGAAACTCCAGCAAAGTTCCCAGCTCCCTGGTCCCCATTTCCAGGGCTGAGAGCGAAGCACCGGTCATGCTCCGGCCAGCTCTGCAGCCCACGCGAGGCACAGCCCCAGCGAGGTCCGACCCGCCCACCCGCTCACCTTCGGCAGCGTCTCCGGCGCTCGCCGCGGCCAGCAGCTGTGTCAGCGCCAAGAGCAGGACCAACAGCCAAGCTTTGCGGAGCCTCATGGTGGGGTGCGGAGCGAGGCCTGCAGTCACCGGCCACCGCGAAGCCCTCGCCGACCTCCGGAACGACGCCGAGAGCAGCAAAAAAAAAAAAAAAAAAAACCTCCAGGAAGTCCTGCCCGGTGATTGGCCAGCGCCAAGGAAGCCGCGGGCCGGCCAATCCCCGCGCGAGTCGGGGCGAGAGCGGCGACGCCCCGCCCACGCCGGCCCCGCCCCGCTGCCGGAGCCCTCCGCGTCGGCGCGGCCCTCGGCTCCGCGTTTAAAACTCCGAGCCCTAGCGTGAGGTGCCCCCTTCTGATTGGCTGCGCCGCGACCACCAATCCCCGGCTGCCACTCGGTTCGCCCGGAGCGCCCAGGCCTGGGAAGAGTGCCGGGAGAACAAAGACGGCCCTGCCCGGGGAGGCGGGAAGAACACGTGTAAGCAACTCAGAGGGACAGTGGCGGGCGCGTCGGGGCGCTTCCCTGTGTGCCTGCCCTCGGGCTGCAAGACTGGAAACTAACGCGCACAGGGCGACTCTATTGGGAAAAGGACAGATCAGGGGTCCTGCCTCTATGCCCGTGTTCTTTGGCTTCTTGATTTTTCTCTCTGTTAGTGCACGTAAAAGTTCGAGTTTCTTTCCTGTATATTAGGTTGGCGGAGGAGTGTGAAGTAGATTAATTAATTCAGAACTCTATGAATGAGCCATCAGATTCTTGTCTAAACGTTGCCTTATGATTTTATGCAAAAAAAAAAAAAAAGATAACCAATCCAGTGGTTTAGATCTAGAAATAACCATGACTCTTTTGGAGAAAAAAAAAAAAAACTAGGTTTGCATGCCAGGAAAGAAGCCTGTGTCGGTATTAGGGTGAATACCTGTGGATTTACCAGTCTGAAGAGATATATCCGACAAACGAGGCTAAATAAATAAAACTCAGGGTGCGGCAGTATTGTCTTATGCATACAGTGGGAGAAAGTGAGCGATGTCTGTGACTACTCCCCTGGGTTGTCATTTTAGCACTATTAGGCGAGGTTCCTAGGCCAATTTGAATGTGTGTTTTCCTTCACTCCTGCAGATCTCTCTCTAGAGAAGGAGCCTATTGGGAAAGAGACCTCACCGTTTAGATTACCTCAGGTGTGTCTGAGACAATTACGGCATACATGTCCTCAATCAGACACTCAGATTATGTGTTTTGAAAACTAAATTAAGAACAGTCAGGCACACAGCCTACATGCTCTGAACTCATGAGGTTTTATGATTGATCTTTTCTTAGTAAATGGCCCGAGATGACTGCAGCTTCTTTCTTGTGTTTTCTGAAGAACTCGGTGATGATTCTACTTTTTTCTTTTCTTGGAAGCCTGAAGAAGTGAGTTTATTTTCAGGAGTGTTTTCTTTTATCCAGCTGTGATGAGTGTGTGCCTGTGGTGTCAAGGACTTTGCCAGCAGATCAAGTTAGCCCAGGAACCCAGAGCCAGCTAGGCAAGACAGTAAATATGCTTAGGACACCTCCTCCAACATGAAGCAATGTATCTCAATTTTTAAAGATTTTTTTTTTTACTTTCAGATTTATTATTTTATATGTAAGAATGTTCTGCCTGCATGCATGTACGCATGTGCACCATGTGGATGTCCTGGTGTCCTCAGAACTCAGATGGCATCAGATTTTCTGGAGCTAAAGTACAGCTGGGTGCTATGAACCAAACTTGAGCCATCTTTCTAGCCCCTCGTGTATTTTTATTTGTTTTGGTTTTTTAAAACAGGATTTCTCTGTCCTGGAACTCACTCTGTGGACCAGAATGGCCTCAAACTCAGAGATCCACCTGTTTCTGCACCCCCCCTCCCTGCCTGGGGTGCTGGGATTAAAGCCTTGAGCCACCAGGCCCAGTGTTTATTTATTTTATGTGGTTGGGTGTTTTGCTTGCATGTATGTTTATGTACTGCTTACATGCCTGGCTCCTGAGGAGGCCAGAAGAAGGAGTTGGAACTCCCTTAACTGGAGTAACAGGTGGTTAGGAGCCATCATGTGGGTGCTGCAAATCAAACTGAGATCTTCGGGAAGAATAGCTCCTCACTTTCATTTTTAAATTATGCATTATGTGGGTGTTGGATATGTGCATGTGAGTGCCAGTACCTGCAAAGGTCAGAGTGGGCACTGGAAGCATCTAACATGGGTAATAGAAACTGAAATCACAACCTTTGCAAAAGCACTAAGTGGTCTTTTCCCCCCCAGAGCTGAGGGCCGAACTCAGAGCCTTCTGCATGCTGGGCAAGCGCCCTACCACTGAGCTAAATCCCCAACAGTTAAGTGGTCTTAACCATCAAGCCGTCTCTTCAGCCCCAGGTTTTGTTTTCTGTTTTTTTCATTTTTGTTTTTAGACTGAATCTCATTATATAGCCCTGGCTGTTGTTGAACTTGCTATGTAGACTGGTTTGGCCAGGAGCTCACAGAAATCAGCCGCCTCTGCCTTCAGAGGGTTGCAGTTAAAGGATGAACCACCAGGCCTGCCCCCACTTTCTTTAAATTCTACACTTGTAACACATCATGGAAGTTAGATTTCTCGTGACATACCCTCTTTGTGATCACGGGCTGAAATGTGCTCTGAGACCTACCCTCAGAACTTGCTGCTCAGAAACTCCCTGTGGCTGCCTACTGTGTTCTTTTTCTTCATACTCAGATTTTATATAATCATGTTTTAGAATATACTGATATTTCAGCAGATGCCATCTTAATTGCGTTTCCCTATAGCTGACTGCCTTTGATGTTATAGGATAAGGTTCACATTTAGGTTTGGTCCCCCTATTCACCGTAACCCAGGGTTGGCGAACCTGATTGTTTTTTGCAGATGGTTGCTCTTGATAAGGTGTTTCTAAGCTTGTAGAAGTGGAGAGTTGGCTCAGGCATTTCCTTTTTATGCCAAGGGTACCGGTCGCTAATGTTTTAAACCTCATCAGCTGAATGAATCCTTTGTTTTTAATAATGCTGGGGACTCATGGAGGTCCTCGAGCATGCGTGCTCCCTCACTGCCGTATCCCAACCCCTTAAGATGATGACTCCTTAAGTTTCATTGTTATTAAATACCAGGGTATTTGATATTGTTACTAAAAAGACAAGCACTCTTGACATTTGTAGAAATTAAGCATTAAAGTATAAATAAAACCCAGCATACTTTTATATTAAAAACAAACAAAAAAAATGTTTAGCAAATTGTAAGTGTGCTCTGGGGTCAGACAGTATGAAACTGAATTTAGACTCTACCACTTTATTTGCTTGTTTGATATCTATTATAACCTTGTAGACCCAGTAGTTTCCGGTGTACAATACTGCATACATTTTATATTTTATGCTGTTTGAAGATGCGTTTAAAAAGTCAGATTCCTGGACTAGAGAGATGGCTCAGCAGATAAAAGCGCTCAAACCCAGTATCCTCAGTTTGGATCCTCAAAACTCAAGTGAAAACTGCATGCAGCACTGGAGAGATGTCTCAGTGGTTACGAGAATGAATTCTCTTATGGCAGGGCTGAATTCCAGCTAACCTCAAGGGTGGGGCCATCAGGCTACAGTGTGCCTGAAATCCAGGCAGAGAACAGGGTGGGAACAGTCCTACTCCTGCTGTTCTCAAGGTGGTTTGGGCACTCCTTGACCTCAGTCTTGTTCCAGGCTGGCTCGCCTAGCTGGATGGCTTCTCCATGGCTCCCTGGCTCCACAGCTCACCAGTCAAGAATACTGGCTGTTCTTGTAGAGGACCTGGGTTTGAAATGCAGGACCCACATGACAGCTCCTAATGGTCCATAACTCCAGAGCCACAGCATATGACACACACTCTTCTGGCCTCTGTGGGCACCAGGCATGTCCATGGTACACAGACATACATAAAGGTAAAACACCTATACACATAAAACAATAACAACAACAACAACAAAACCCTTTCTTTTGTTTTTTTAAGATTTTATTTTATGTATATGAGTGTTCAACCAGCATTTACACCTGCCAGAAGAGGAATCAATTCACATTATAGATGGTTGTGAGCCACCATGTGGTTGCTGGGAATTGAATAGTGCTCTTAACCACTGAGCCATCTCTCCAGCGCCCCCAAACCCAGTCTTGATAAAGAGTGAGGCAAGGAATTGCATTCAAGCTGATAGAAGTTTCCATTTTGTCTCTAGAACATCTCTTCATCTCCCAGTTACAATCCATTAAACACTTATCTTCTACCTTACTTATCTCAAGATTTCTCTCTCATCAACCTTTTGGTCTCATCCAAGATGCTGCTGGTAACTACACCTGTGGTCTTTACACTGAACATTTATTTTTGTCCATTGTTTTTCTCTCATGCTGTTCTTTTATATTTGGAAAACAACCTCCTTTTCTCTCCCTTCTGTGATTAACTGGTTAGGTAGTGTGGTTACATTTGGTCTGAGGTTATTTCCTATCTACAGAATATGACATGGATTTCTAGATTTCCAGTTAACCACAGTACAAGAATCCCTGCCCTGGAACAAGACCTGTAGAAAGTCTTGGTGAGTTGTGCATGGTGGCATACGCCTTTCACCCCAGCCCTGGGGGGACAGAGGCCGTGGATATCTGAGAGTTGAGGCCAGCCTGGTCTACAGTGTGAATTCCAGGCTAATCAGGACTACATAGTGGCATTCTGTTGGTTAGGTGGGAGGGGGGACCTCAACACAGTCGCCAACTGTGCCTGAGGCGGCTGTGGGAAACCTTATAGTGGCTTTTGTGTTCTTCTCTGTAACATCAGAGTTTAAAATAATAAAATTTAAAAAGTCCTTTCTGGGGGACTGGAGTGGTTAAGGGCACTGTCTGCCCTTCTAAAGGTCTTGAGTTCAATTCCCAGCAACCACATGGTGGCTCATAACCATGTATAATGAGATCTGGTGTGCTCTTCTGGTGTGTAGGCCTACACGAAGAAAGAGTACTGTATAAATAATAAATAATAAATCTAAAAAAAAAGACCTTTCTGAATCTCTATAGTTCTACAACATTTGAGAATATAAATGATTCATATATTGTGATACCTCTGCTTTATGCTCTATGTGTTCATTTGTCAGTTGGTTAAATATTCATTCATGAGAAGCTCACTTAGGCTCCAAATAGCATCTCCACTCTGGAACTCCCAAATCTCTACCCACTGACTCAATTCCCAACTCAAACTCTCAACATTTTTTTTTTGTTTTGTTTTGTTTCTCCAACTGAGATTATCAGCATTTTCTTAGGGTATACTGCACATTAATCATCAAGAACCCCAAAGAGAAACTTACAACATTCGCATGAAATTCAGAGAATTCATCTTGTTGGTTTCAAAATAAATGAATCAAAAGCAAACCACAAAGCATTATCATGACAGACATAAAATTCACTGTATTTAACCATTTATAATCATACTCTGCAAAGAACAAAAGCGTAGAATTGATATTAAATAGACTGCCCCTTTTTAGCTCTGACAGTGGCACTAGAGGGATTTCCTTCTGGTTTAAGATGGGACTCTTGAACTAACTGCATTTGGGTGAAATGCTCCTAACGTAGTAGGAAGAACAAATACCTCTTTTTACCGAGGTAAAGGAACCACAACTGGTGGTGTTCCAAATAATAATAATAATTTTTCAGTTTCTCATTTTAAATTTGTATTCTTTTTAATCAAAGTAGAGCCCCTCTGCCCAAACCTCACTTCCCAGTGGGTGTGGCCACCATTCTCCAGGCTGCCCTGACAACTGCACTGTGCTCATAGAGTGTACGTCCCACCCAGCTCAGCTCCAGTCAGCCTCTATCATCGCAAACAGCTGGCTAAGCCTCTTCTTAACCTCAGGTTCCCGGGGGACCTGACAGGATTTCGTATGCACCCTGATGTGTTCAGCTAGTTTGGACTTATAAATGAAGCCCTTCCCACAGTCGCCACAGGCAAAGGGCCTGTCAGGCCTGTGGATACGCTGGTGTCTGAGCATGTGACCCCTTTCCCGGAAGTTTTTATCACATTCAGGGCAGTGGAAAGGTCTCTCGCCTGTGTGCAGGCCCTGGTGGCTGAGCAGCTGAGCCTTCAATCGGAAACTCTTGTCACACTTGGGACACTGAAAAGGCTTCTCTCCTGTGTGTGTCCTCATGTGTTCCACGAGTTTAGAGTGTTTGGCAAAGCCCTTCCCACACTGGCAGGAGAAGGGCATCTGCCCGCTGTGCAGCAGCTGGTGAGCCTTCAGGTCAGCCTTCACGCGATAGCTCTTGCCACACTCTGGGCATTGGAAGGGTCTCTCTCCAGTGTGTAAGCGCTGATGGCTGAGCAGCTGCCCCTTTAGGCGAAAGCTCCTGTCACACTCAGGACACCGGAAGGGTCTCTCTCCACTGTGGACACGGAAGTGCTCTGTGAGCTTAGACTGTCTGGTAAAGCCCTTGCCGCACTCTCCGCAGGAGAACGGCCTCTCCTTGCTGTGGGTGCGCTGGTGGGCCTTCAGGACTCCCTTCAGGCGGAAGCTCTTGTGGCACTCAGGACACTGAAAGGGCCTTTCGCCACTGTGCACTCTCAGGTGCTCGCGGAGCTTGCACTGATGGGTGAAGGCTCGGCCACACTCTCTGCAGGAGAATGGCCTTTGTCCGCCATGTCGCAGTTGGTGGGCTCTCAACCGGCTCTTCAGCTGGAAACCCGACTCACACACTGTGCACTTAAAAGGCTTTTCCTCCGAGGGCAGCCGCTGGTGCCTCAGCAGCTCTCCCCTTTGGCTGAAGTTCCTTCTACACTGGGCACACCGGAAAGATTTCTCCCCGAGGAGGATTCGGGTGTGTTCTGGGAGTTTGCAATGTTTGGTGAAACCCTGACCACACTTTCTACAGGACAGTGGTCTGTCCCCACTATGCACGTGTAGGCAGACATCCTTCAGGCCTCTCAGGCAGAGGAGCTTGTTGCTTTCTGGACAGCGAAAGGCTTTTTCTCCTGTGTGTGCCCTGCAGAAGCTGGCCTGCTTAGACCGTGAGAAGAAGCAGTTGCCACCTTCTGTGCATGAGCAGGGTCTGTCCTCACCTAAGATGCAAGCCTTCTGCTTGCTACCCTTGTGGCAGCAGCCCTCACAGTCCAGACTGGGGCCTGGCTTCTGTCCTGAGAGCACAATGGTGTCTTCTCTCCAGGAGGCTGGCCTCTCTTGGCTCTGCGGGCACTGGTGAACATTATTTTCCATTGGGAAGCTCCTGTCACATTTGGGGTTTTGGGAAGAATTGTGCTGGAGGTAGTGGCTAAAAGGGGTTTGCTCATGATGGAAGCACCTTTTGCATTTAGGGCACTGGGGTGGTTTCTTCCTTGTATGGACATCTAGATGTCTCACCAAATACTGTTTCAGACAGAAGCTCTTCCCACTTTCAAGACACAAGAGGTCCCACTGCTGTTGTGCATCAGACTGTCTGCTGAACTTCTTCCAGACCCTACATGATGGGCTCTTGGAGTGATCCTTTTGGTGCTTCACTAAGTAACTCTTCTCCCAAGACCTTTCCCCACAGACAGGACAAGAGTGCTGGGCACTCTGCCAAGGGGGAACCTTCTGCAAGGCGGGGAAGTCTGGTACTCTGTGACTTGAGAATCCTTCTTTTAGGGCAGCTGCACTGGAGCTGTGCATGACTGAATTGAGAGCCCCTTGGGCACGTGTTTGTGCATTTTCAGGACTGATGCCTTGGTCATGCATGAGGGAAACATCTTCCCTTTCTCCTAAAACAAGTCCAAAAGCATTTAGCTGGAAATGGCATGTAATTTCTCTTGACTTCACAGCTTGCTCGCTACCTGAAAATGAAAGCAAAAATTCAGTAAATCTTTTGTCTATCGCATGACTGAACATCATCACCAGTAAAGTTATTCATAAAACCTGTGGTGATCGGAGCATCCTGATCACATTAATCTATAAGACCATGATATGTGGTTCTACTTTATGACCAAAAGGCGCTCAGTAACTATTTGCACAAACTAAACTGAGAAGATCTATGTTATGTCAGAAGTGAAAAGATGAAAAAGTCTGAAAGGTAGGGTATAAGGCATGGAAACTGACTCTGTAGGTATGAATCTAATTTGCCCACTGTGCAAACCTTGCCAAGCTAATTACTTCTGGCTTGGGGGTCTTTTTCCTGTAAAAACAGGGAAATTGGGCAGAAGGGACAGCTAAGTGGGTTAAGAGTACTGACTGCTTTTGTAGAAGACCCAGGTTCTGTTTTTAGCACCCACATGATGGCTCCAATTCCAGCAGATTCAGCTCCATCTTCTGTCCTCTCTGTATACTGTGTGCACACAGAACAAATACACTCACACAGGCACACACAGTACACATAAATAATAAAACAAACTATTAGTGTTTTGTTTTGTTTTGTTTGAGACAGTTTGTTTTTTTGTTTGTTTGTTTGTTTTGGGTTTTTTTTTTAATGTAGCCCAGGCTAGATTCAAATTCAGAGAGAGCTGCCTGTGTCTACCTTCCGAATGCCAGGATTAAAGGCATGTCCTGGCATAATAAAATAAATTTAAAAAAAAATTAAAAACTAGGAAAACAAAAGTGCATAAAGAGGCTTGTGAACAAGTTAATGTGATATACTGCACACTGCGTCCTCCATAACTGCCGAACAGTATTACAGCTGCAAGAACATCAAACATTCCATTTTATAAAAACATTCTTCTTGGAGTCACAATGTGATAGTGGCAATAAGATCCTAACAGAGCTCTAACAAATACCACAGATACACTTTTTGGCAGACCAGAATGGCAACAGAAAAGTGATCAGCACCAGAGGCTCTTTAAATGTAGTCTCGTGGGGCCAGGCTACATTTCAAGTTGGCACTAGAACTTGGCAGTGTTGTTCATGTGTTCTGCTTTTGCAAGTACGAATGATGCAAGAGTATAGGGGTAATGAAGGCTTGCACCACAGTTCTAGAAAGCTCCTGAGGTCAGTGTGTGGCAGGGCCAGATTCTCCTGGGCCACCTGGGAAGGTAAAGCCTAGGCTCTAGGGCAGGCCCAAGACTGTTAAGAGACGCCAGGACTCGGGAACTGCAGGGACAAACTGGAACTGGCCCAAGAGAGAGTTCATGTGCACGATAGGGGCAGAGCTGGAGAGATGGAGCTTCTCAAGGCCAGTGGAGCCCAAATGATTCTATCATAAGCCCCCAATGAGAGGTATGGAGCTGCAGCGTTTAGTGTTCACCCTGTTGGATGTGGGTCTTGCTTTGGTCCTCTGTTTTCTTGCTGTGCTCCCATTCCTTATATTTGGAATAGGGATGATTGTACTATGCTATATAGGTTGGTAGCATGCAGCTTCTCTTTTGATATTATAGGGGCTCACAGCTTAAAGACTGCCTTGGTCACAAAGATGGGGAAAGCCAACCTCAGTACGAAGAACAGTTTCCATTTCGACTACTTCAGCACTGTGTACATTATTCCTTTCAAACACTATATTGTAGGTTCTTATATTTGCTTCATTTCATACACCAAGAGTTTACATACTACTAACCTGCCCAAAGTCACTGTGGTGGTATGAATGGGAATGGCCCCATAGACTTACATATTTGAACACTAGGTCCCCAGTTGGTAGAACTATTTAGCAAGGATTAGGAAGTGTGACCTTATTGGAAAAGGTGTGTCACTGGGGGTTGGCTTCGACATTTCAGAAATCCATGCCTTTTCCAGTTGGCTCTCTCTGCCTCTGCTTGTAAACTGGAATGTGAGCTCTCAGTCACTACTCCAGTGACATGTTTGCCTGCCTGCTGCCGTGCTCTTTGTCATGATGCCTTCTTTTACAACTTGTCTTGGTCATGGTGTCTTTAGCACAACAATAAGAAAATGACTATGACCATCTCCTAGAAAAGAAGCCATCAGACTTGGGCTTCAGAGTTCACATGCCTCTCCCACTACACTTTACTGCCTTTCTCTAAAATATATGCAACAAAAATCAAGCCCCGGGTCAGCCAAATAGGAAGGAAGGATCAGAGAACACAAAACAAGAAATCTGCATGTGATGTGTTTAGGTTAGGACCATGGTTTCTTTTTTTTTTCTTTCTTTCTCTTTTTTCTTTTCTGAAACAGGGTCGTGTAGTTAGACTGTATTTGAACTCATTATGCCAATGAGGATAACTTTGGTTTCCTGCATTATCTCCCAAGTGCAGATAACAGGTGTCCACCACAACATTTTAGGATACTAGGGTCTCAATACTCACTCTCAAGTAACTGTTCCTCAGTAACTAGGTGAACATGTACATCATCTACAGAGGAGTGACCCCCTTTCTCCAGTTTCTGCTTTCCTCCCGGGCTGCCGAAGAGCTCTCTCCCAAGTTCAATCCAGGATATTAGTTCTGGTTTGGGAAGTCCATTATCTGTACAGAGAAGTCAGACAGGGTAGTTTGGCCTGAGCGTTACAAAGCATATAACTTTTAAATTTCTCAAAATCTACTTGTGGAACAATCTATGAGGTCTCAGCAAATAGAGTATAGGTTTTTATGAAGAGAAACACAACTACCCACCCATCTATCAGCACTTCTGGCCTGTTATACCAACTGTGCCATTTTTCAAAGCCTCCATATGTCAAATGACTTCATATTTAATTCAAAATCAAAAGGGCAAATGCTTCATCATTATTATTATTATGACTATTAATATTATAAGATCTTACGATGTCTAGATGAAGCTGACCTCAAACTCACAAAGGTCTACTCTTCCAGAGGACCTGGGTTCGGCTCACAACTGTTTATAACTCCAGAGACAAAATATTCATGAACACATTAAAAAAAAAAAAAAAAAGACAGGGGAACCCTGTTTCAATAAACAAACAAACAAACAAAAAACCTTAACTCATTGCAATGAACATAAGCAAGCAAAGAAGCGTGGACACAAATATATATGATGGGACACATTGTGACACACTATAGCTTCCACAACAAGATTTTTTTCTCTTTTGTAGGGGAGGTTGCAATGGTGGAGGGCAGGAATGCGGGGATGGAGACAAGTGGGAATAGGGTGCACGATGTGAAATTTACAAAGAACCAATAAAACGTTTAAAAACTTTATAATAGGAAAGTAGAGCTGCAAGCAACCACATGGTGGCTCACAACCGCCTGTAATGAGATCTGGTGCCCTCTGCTGTGTAGGCACATGGCACGCAGAACATATATACTAATAAATAAATTAATCTTGAAAGGAAGATAGAGAAGGCTCCAGGCGCAGTGGCACATGCCTGTGATCCCAGCACAGTGATGAGGCAGAGGCAGGTGGATCTCTGTGAGTTTCAGGCCAGTCTGGTCTACAAGGTGAGTCAAGGACAGCCAAGGACAGAGAAACCCTATCTCAGAAAGCCAGAAAAAAAAAAAAAAAAAAAGTAGATATGCTGTCATGATTAAGCAGGAGATACAGAAGAGAATGTAGAAGGAAAGGAATTATCTTTAAATACTAAAGGAGTTAGATGATATAAGATACAAAGTTAATAGAACATGTATATTTTATTATTATCCCTTAGACGCCTGTTCTTTTTCTAAGGAGAGACAGAAAGGCCTATGGACCCAGATGGGAGGGGAGGTATGGGGGAACTGGGAGGAGTAGAGGGAGGGAAAGTGTAAAAAGAGCCTATCTTCAGTAAAAGGGTGGGGAAAAAAAAGAAAAATTGAACTATATATTAAATTCAATCTCTTTGAATCCTTTCAAAATTAATCTAGGGGCTGGGGAGATGGAGAATGGATAAGAGCACTTGGTGCTCTTTTAGAGGATCAGGGTTCAGGTCCCAGTACTCACATGGCAACCCACTACCATCTGTAATTCCAGTTCTAGAGGGATCTAACACCCTCTTCTTGCCTCTGTGTATGCTGCGTGCATGTGGTACACAGATATACATGCAGGCAAAACACTTATACACATAAAATAATAATAATAAAATTAAAACTATGCTGGCACACAAAGTTAGCAAAACATAATCTAGATATTTAAATGTATTATTTTAAATTATAAAACTATCCAGTAGACACACAGCAAAAACCAATCAAAAACTGGGAAGGTGAAAAATAAAAGGGGGATGACACAAGTAAGACAATATTTCATTTTCCATTAACTGATCACCACTACTAAACTTAATAGGTCAAGAATGGTTGGGGTTTGTTTTTTGTTTTTTTGTTTTTTTTTTTTTTTTTGCACAAAGGAAACTGCTTTACTAATGAAAACAGAAATGGTTAAAAGCGCCTGCTTGGAGCTGGAGCAATGTCTCATGGTAAGAGCACTGGCTGTTCCCCAGAGGACAACAGTTCATTCCCAGTACCCACATGGTGGCTCATAATCACCTGTCACTACAGTTGCAGGAGATGCAACACTCTCTTCTTGCCTCCTTGGGCACCAGGCATGCATGTGGTACACAGACATACATGCAGCAGAACACTTGTACACATGAAACAGCAATAAAAAACCAAACAGGAACCTTTTGTCTTTTATTGTATGCTTCTCTAAACAGCCTAAATTTTGTGCATGATTTTGTACGTTTGTATGTTGGGTGGGGTTGCAATGTCATGTATGTGAAGTCAAGAGACAGCCTTGGGTACTGGTTCTCAGGACACCTTCCACCTTTTAAATTTTGAGACAGGACCTGTCGTCGGCCTGAAACTTTGCCATGTAGATCAGGCTAGATTGCCTTCAGTCTTCCAGGGATCCACCTGTCCAGACCTTCCACCTCACCCAGCAGGAGTGTGCCACAGCACCCATCTTTTTACTCGATTCAGATGTAAATTTGGGTTTTCAGGCTAACAAGGCGAGTGTTCTACCTACTTCCCTACTGAGTCATCGCTCCAGCTCCAGACTCATTTTAAAATTCATTTGATAAGTGAGAAAAACTAGCCAGGCAGCTGGGCATAGCCATTTTTTTTAAGACAGTTTTTTTTTTTTTTTTTTTTTTTTTTTGTAGCCCTGCATGTCCTGGACTTCACTATGTTACCAGGCTGGCCTCAAACTCATGGGGATCCACTTGCCTCGGGCTCCCAAGCTCTAGGATTAAAACGTGTGCACCACCGTGTCCCACAAATGTGTAGCTGTACAGCATGGGCTAGCCTCAAACTCTTAACCCTCCTGCCCCTGTCTCATCAGCATATCCTCCCAGGGTGCGCCCACACAACTGGCTGCCAACATAAACCTTTATCAAGGAACCTATATAGGCCAGGTTGGCCTATATAGTGAGCCAAGACAGATTTAGTAAGTGAGCCCTTGCCTCAAAAAGGTATAAAGAAGCAGTAACAACAAAAACAACAAAACCACCCCAAAACTGTGGTATAGCCCTTGCATACATGCAAAGTTCTAAGTGTCATCTCCAGAATCACACACAAGAAGAAGAGGGATGATGATGATGATAGAACCAAAAAAGAAAAAAAAAATCCATTCAGTCTTAGCCACTCTTAAACACCTCAATGTGCACTTTTCCAGAACCACACTACATGCAAGGCCATTCGTTTCTTGCTGTCTTTACCCTACCGGAAAGCTGCAAGGAGGCCAGTTTCTAGGTCAAGGCACACAGGCACTTTGTGGGTATGAGGCAGGTGTGCTTCGCAGGGGGAATCCACACAGTCTCAGAGTAAATTGTGGTGGGGAAGGTTTTAGCATATATCTCAGCCACCTCGACTGTGTGATATGACATGGCGCCTTAAATACCCTCCTGTCTGCCCCCGAGTAAAGACTGGTGCTGTGCGCATTAATATTGACAACAACAACCAAGGGCTAAAGAGCCTTTCTGGGTTAGTATCTAAGCAATCTTGCTACCTTATAAGAGTCTCGAGAGATGGGGGGAGGGGAGGCTTTCAGAAGATCCAGTTGCAAGAATCACCCCAGAAACTGAAAGCTCCTTACCTAGAGAGACGAGAGTCTCATAATTGGTTCTCATGACGTGCTTGTAAAGTTCCTTCTGCCAGGCCTCTAAATGCTGCCATTCTTGCTCAGAGAAGTAAATGGCCACGTCTTCAAAAGTCAGCGGTAACTGAGTGAAAGACAGAATGCATGTACAGTCAGGGCTGCTCCAAGTGACTCCAGTTCATTCTCGTCATTAACTTGAGACTCATGTAGCAGGCAGCTGTTTTTTTACTCAGCAGTCTCTTCCACAAGAGTGATGTGTGGGCCGGAGAGACGGCTCAGCAGTCAAGAGCATCGAGCACCCAGGTTCAACTCCCAGCTCCCACGTGATGGCTCACAGCCACCTGTAACTTCAGTGCCAGGGAGCCTAATGCCCTTCTGCTCCCCACAGACACTGCACACGCATGGTGCACAGACGCACATGCAGACAGAACACCCACACAAAAAATAAAAATGAAGGAAAGAACTCAATTACGCAAATAAGCTAAACTATTTGTTTCCCCCAATCAACTCATGTGGCTCTGCTGTCACCACTACACCCATCTCACATGACTCTTCAAAATGTGTATCTGTATGTATGGGATGGAATAGTCTTTACAAAACCAAATCAGTGTGAAACTCACACTGGGGTAAATTCCATTATATTCCACAAGGAGACAGAGCCCAGTAATGAGCACACACACCCTGTTTCTTTCCTCTCTAAATTTTCTTTTCTTTTATTTTTTTATTTTAAGGCAGGTTCTCACATGCTATGTAGACCAGGGCTGGCCTAGATCTCACAGAGATTTACCTCCCCCTGTCTCTCCAGTGCTGGGATTAAAAGACATGCCATACTTGGCTTCCCTCTGTAAGTTACACACAATGCTCTGATGTGTTTCCTTATTATCAGCACTTTTAATTTTGTAGAATAAAGTCTAAACTGGAGCATTACTAAATCAAAGGGTATAAACAACCTCAGTATGCGTGTATCTGTGTGTGGAGACTGAACTCAGGACCTGCACATGCTAGGCAACTTCTCTACCCTTGAGTGATATCCCTAGCTAAGAACTGTTTAGTATTTGTGTCTGTCATGGTGGGCTAGAAAAACAGATACTTGCTGGAGTTCATAATTAGAACTATGTGCATTATATGTTTGTTAGTTGAAAATACTCTCCTTGGGAGCAGAAGAGACACGGCATCTGCTACTCAAATTATCCAGACGCTGTGGGAACCCAGCCACCTCCCACACTCCCCGTGGGCCCCAGTCACAAGCTGTCCAAAAATTACTACTGTACTCATGATGGCTGCAGGGAAGTTGTACTTCCCTCCATCATCAAGTCCTCACAAAAGGCCTTGGTGTGCAAGACAGTGGAGAGCTCTGCTGTGGCAGCCACTGAGAAGAAGGCAGTGACACCTGCTCCTCCCATAAAGAGGTGGGAGCTGTTCAAGGACCAGCCAGACCTGTGACCCTGCCCTAGGACCTTGCCATGTCCCAGGGGCCACATGACTGCTTTTTCTCCTTGGATTCTCTCTGGGGAGAGTGAGACCTAATTTATAACAGATATCAAGCATGGAAGGAAGGAAGGAAGGAAGGAAGGAAGGAAGGAAGGAAGGAAGGA